CTATCTATCTATCTATCTATCTATCTATCTATCTATCTATCTATCTATCTATCTATCTATCTATCTATCTATCTCAACACATCCGGTGGGCAACAGTTTGAGAAATATTCCTTCAGAAGATGAGAAGGCAACTTCTATTGTGGATGCAAATATGCATGTAAAAGAAAACTCTGATTTAATGTCTAGCAAAAAAGATTTCTCAACTCTTGGTTTTGTACCATAATACACAGAGTACGTATTGTTAAGTTAATCAGATTTAACAGACATTTGGCTTTAACAGATACCAGATTTGAATCTGTACTTTCAGATTCATAACAACTACCTCTTTCACAACAAAACCATAAATTTACAGTAAAAGTATACATTTCAACACCTAAGTAAAAACTAAGGCTTAAAAACAACAGAAGTACTGTAAAACGTCATCAAACTACTGGCCAACTGACAGTTCACAAGCACCATCCATTCTTCTCTTCTCCTTGTATAAAGTGACAGTTCACCTTCGGGTATTAATTCTACAACAACAACTTTAAGATATGGGGCCTCGTACAGTTGACTGCCATGCTGAAACAAACCTTATTTATTTAGTTATTTATTCATCACATTTATATAGCTTATATATAATATATAATTATTATATATTTATGTCCTGCTTTAAGACTGAGCAGCAGTACCCCATCTCTGAGATTCATCACTTTTACTGTACTATAATTACCTTGACTTTGAAGAAGCTGGGCTATTAGAAAACAACTACTGTAAGTCTGATGCCATTTTATCAGGTTACACTCAGAAATAATAATAATAAAAAAAAAACAAGGACCACCATCAGGCTTCTTTCACCTTCAGCTGTCATCTAATAATAGCCATTCATTCATAGTTGTCCACATGAAGGGCAAAGACAAAATATAAATTATAATGCAAACTGAACCCTTTATGTATTGTTATGTGATGCCACAACATAGATATTCAGGGGCAGAGACTAGATCATGATGTCATAATGATCTGGCTAGCCATGGATGCCTACAATTCCACCAGGCCATACCCAGAAAGGAGGGAAGAGCAGCAAGGCTATTATTTGGCCCTACTGACAGACCAGCAGTTTTTTATTCCACCTCACCTAAACTGCTCCTATTCTAACTGAACATTTTAAGAATCAGGTAGCTCAGATCACTGCTGGTTTCTTTAAAATAACTTTTCCATCTCCCTGCTAACCCCTTTTTCCTTCTGTGTCATTCTTTTAGATCATAAGCATGAGAATATGGGCTGCCTTTGTTTAATTAACTTGAAAGCTACCCTGACAACTTGTTGTGGCTTGTAAGCCAGACAGAATGATTGAAATAATGTTAAAAAATCCAAATTTGCATTGGTGTGAAAAACATTTATTTTTGTCTAATTATAAGATGCCCACATTTTACATGCTTAGTGCATTATTATTGTTGTTGATTGATATTTTTATACATTTACCTGTGTTGAATGTTTCCAGTATGAATGGCTTCAGGAGGAACTCTCCAGGGGCAACTAACTCTTCCTCCAGGAAGTCGTTTAAAATCAAACTGGCAGCAGATTTTAGGATCTGGTCCACAAGTGTGAGGAACGTCATAGCTATAGAAAGGCATCATGTGACAGAGAATATCTGTATCAGATCCCAAATCTAGAATTAAAATAGCAAGATAAACATAAGCATAAAAATAAATGCTTTTTCATATATCATAAACCAGACTACTCAGAATCCATACCTCCTAAATTCAGGACCTTAGAGAGCTTTTCTTCCACCACCAATTAATTCCAAAAATGCTCTTCTTGTTTTTACTATAAGCCATCTGCCATAGAATAAAAATATACATTGTATGTCTTTCTTCTTGGTCATTCTCAAGGTTTGCTAGATGCATTGATCATGTCATGTCACAAGAAACCAATATTTTATCTCATCAGATGATAAAATTTAATATTAAATCATCAATACATCTCAAAAGCCTACTAATTTGTTGATTTCACAGACCTAGCAATGAAATCCGTATGCCAAGAATTCATGCCAAAAATTATTCACTGTATACTGCATTTCAAACTATTCCTATAATTTCAGAAATAGTCAAATGATTCTCAATTAACATACAATACCCAATAGCCAAAGTATTTCAACAGCCCAATGGGTAGAGAAATCTAAGGGTGCTATATACTATGAATTTTAAAAGAAATGTAGTAATGGTGAGTAAAGCATATTGCGCAGTATCAGAATGTCCTAAAAAAGTCAAACTAAATAGAAAATCAGCTAAAACAGGTTTAAGAAGCAAAGATGTAAGCCTTGGAGAAATCTGTATCAAAATACCTAGAAGCTTTACTCAATTAGGTATCTGACTATAAGTAGGAATGAGCTTCTTTCATCAATACTGCCAAAAACTGATTTTGGAATAGTGATTTGAAAGGCTGTTCCCGTGCCTGACCTTTACTTGTTCAAACATGTAAGCTTTTTAAAAAATGAACAGCTTAAGTTTGTATTGTAACCTACAACCCCTAGCCTTCTCTTTTAAAGACTATTCCAAAGTGATTAGTTTTAGCTTTCTTCAACTATCATTTAGACAGCAGCCATTCCATTAGACTGCAAAGCAGAGAAAAGGAGAAGAAAAGCTGTTATTCCCCTGCCTCTGGTAAGGAACTAGCCAACGTTTGCTCCCTCAGAAACATCACCTAGCCAGCAAGCATTCTACTAGTCTATTTTGACTATTTCCAGCTGAGTTGGCTATTGTTAGATCCAGCCTGCTTTCCCTCCATCTCCTTCCTCCCTGTTCTGTTCTCATTGTGAGTTACGTCTTGATTGTAAACCTAAACGCTGGCCCTATATTACTACTTATATTTGCTCTGGGAGACATTTGGCTAAAGAGAAGGATAAAAAAACCCTTTAAATAAATAAGGTAAATATATCTATTCCTCCAGGCTTCCTTAAAATTACACATTCTTAAAGTTCTTTATCATGTCCATTAACACTGCCCATTCTCCAAAAGTGGAGGATGGATGAATCAGAATTTTTATTCATTTATCTACACCAGAAAACAACAAAGAAGTCAACCATCTTGCTATGTTGCTAACACATATTTGACAGCATAAACCTATGCTACAACACAAAATGCTGACAAAGAGGTCTATTCAGAGCTGACACTGCATTACTCTGGGCAACAGACATTGTAATACAAAAAGTTCACTCCTGCAAGATTTTAAAAGTCATAATTATATATTTTGTAATTCATTTACCACCAAGATCTTCATAGTACTGAAGTACATATTTTAACGAATTAAGGCTATACTCTCATTGCCAGTATTCAGCCTTAAAATTTACACCCATATTGTTAGAAAATGGAGGACACTATTTTTCTAAGAGCTTAACAACACTATTAAATCCTGGCAAAACAAACTAATGGGCTTTAGTAAATGGTGGCAGAGTAATATATTTCATAGGACAATTTTCCAAGGTTGAACATTCTTCAGGTATTTCCCAGAATTTATTTCCCTTCTCAAAGATGTTTAGATGCAAGTTTGCCTGTTTTAGGAAAACTGGTAAGAGACCCTGCAATACTTCACAAAACTTCTGTCAAAGAAATCTAATTCACGCACTTGTTTTTAACATACTATCTTGAATATGTAACTTAATTTCAAAGACTGCTATATAGATTTAAATGTTCTAAGAACTACAATTTGTGGCTATGAAGTATTTGTTCCAATAGAAAAGAATATATATAGCTCAGGGTTGAACTGTGGAGTCCTTGGTGCTTGGTTGTTTGCTTGCAGACGTTTCATTACCTGACTAGATAACATCATCAGTGCTAGTGAGTATAGGGTTTGCTCCCTGTTTATATGCAGTAGCTTGCCCTACCAGTTTTGGCGGGGGTTTGGTTTTCTCCTTGGTAGTTCCTTGATTGGGCTATTGTTTTCTGCTTGATTGTTTGCCTGGTGTTAATCCCTGCTTACCTGGGTGTTGGATGCTGGAGAGGATGTCTTCTGGTATTTTTGTTTCTTTCTTAGCTTTTTAATTGTCTCTTTTGAATGGTGTGTAAATATGGTTTATTTCTATTTCTACTGATGGCTGATTTGTCTGAGTGCCAAGTTTCCAGAAATTCCCTAGTGTTTTTGGATTTAGCTTGGTCTAGGATGCTCATAGTTTCCCAACAGAAACTATGGTTGAGTCTGTCCATGTGTTGTGAGATTAAGGAATTTTCATCGTGTCTTCTGACTGCTAGTGAATATTATCACACTGATGATGTTACCTGGTTGGGTAATAAAACATCTGCAAGCAAACAACCAAGCTCAGAGAGTACTAAGGACTCATGAGAAAGCAATACTCACCCCAATTCTGTCTCCAAGAAAATTCTAGTGCCTTCTGGGCTGCAAGATGTTTTTTAACTGAATAATGAACTCTCTGTATAAGCATATTGGAAAATCCAGCACGTTTCAGAAGATAAGCCATAGTTGGTGAATGTCCAAATGGATCAATTGCCCAGCCAGATTTTGGCTTTACTCCTAATAAGAAGAATGTGTGTTGAAAGTAACATAATCCCAGACTATACAAACACAAAACATTTCTTCTTACACATTAACACAGGGGTCCCCAATATTTGGAAACTAGTGCACAAATTAGAATGGTTGCAATGGGGGCAGGGGGGGAGGTAATACTCAATTCTAAAACAAAACAAAACAAAATCCTAAAAGGTATACTGTTGAGGTTGAAAGAAACTGGCCAGAGAACACAGGTATGAAGCAAAAGTGCTATCTAATCCCCAAATGTAAAATCACAATTTTTTTCTATATATACACAAATTATCAACTTTTTCAGGAAATTAGAGACCCTTAAGAAATACAGGCATACAAAATGAATGCTAAGCCTTGACTTCCTACCATTTATATTTTCTAAGAATAAAAATATATGCATCTTACTTTAATTTGGAAATTAAAATGGTGGTGATGCATTTTACTCTGCAGCCTACCAGCCTTTCAATTTTAAAAAAAAATCAATGAAAAAAAAATCAGGAGGATGAAGCAGTTTAGGGAATAGCCTGTGAACATGGTGGGATTCCAAAGTTAATATCATGTTTTACAGAATTTTAAAACCATTCCCTTCTTTTCAACTTGAAAGATAACGTGGTATTTTATTGACTTATCAGATTCATCAACTTAAACTATTTGGCTAGCCTGTATTTATAAACATACCCATTCAATGGATTTGGAAGGGCATCATTAATTTTAAATAACCTCAACAATATCTGATTTCTATCTATTGAAAGACTATGTGGAAATCAAACAAGGGCCTTAAGGCTGAAAATTATCATGATTTCCACTTTGGCTATGCAAATGAAAATAACTATTTTCAAAGTAAATTTTACTTTAAAAATTACATGGGCATTTCCCTTAATTGTTTATGTTTGAAATGAATTTTTATCACAAATATTATAAATATTTGGGAATATTATACCTACAGTCTCATAATGATTGTTAAGAAATTGGTAACTTTTCCACCCTTCTCATTACAAATCTTTCTCTTTCTTCCACTCTTTTGGAAGCTACCTGTCATTTGCTGAAATCATAATGTGCAGAGTCTGTTCTAGGAAGTTTTAATACTTAGAATTTATTTATAGCTTTTATCACCTAAGAAATAATCAACAGTAGAAAAAAACTAGCACTGAAAACTCAGTACGTTATTAGACTAATCCAGAAGTCGTACTGAACTTGTTGCAATAACATTTTAAGAGCTGAGTTCTCCAAATGTTTTTACTGACATCTATTTCTACTATAAACCTAGCTAAGCATACTTTATTATATAGATATTTGATATTGTCAATTGTGGTTTGGCAATTTGTAAAGGAAAATAATTGATTTGTAAAAGAAAATAATTGATTCAATGAGTAACAATTTATTTCTTAAACTTCTATACTGAAATGGAAGAGTTGGCAAAGTTTAAATCACAACACAAAAATTATGTGAACCTACCTAGAGCTTTCTCTAGCCACTGGTGTCCTTCTATCAACTGGTCAATTAAAGCAAAATAATGGGGAGAAGCTTCATCAGGCATGACCCAACCTCCTGTTACTATTTCAAACTGGCCATCTTCTATTAACCTGAAAAATATGTTTACTATTTTTTCATTATTTGTAATTTTACTTGTTTATACACAATGATAAAATCAGTCATGTTTAAATACTGATATTTATTTCATCTCTCAAAAAATAAAATCACATGTATCATCTTTTGAAGCACAGATAGTCCTTGACTTACGACCATTCGTTCAGTGACCATTCAAAGTTACGATAGCACTGAACAAGGGGACATATGGCCAGTGCCCAAAGTTACAACCACTGCAGCGCCCCTGTAGTCACATGATCAAAATTCAGGCACTTGGCAGCCCACCCGCACTTATGACTGCAGGGGCACTTCAACTCCCCATACCCATCTATCTATCCCCCATCTATGCCCTTTTGGCACTCGATGGCCCCTGCCACACTGACCTTCGCTGTCTTCTTGCTCCCGCTGCTGACTAAGCATGCCCGGTGTGGCCCTTTGCAATGCAGCTGTTGGCCACACAAGACTTTTTCCAAAGGTTGCGCAAGGTGGTTTCCTCGAGACCTGGGGAAGATGGCCTCGTGTGGCCAGCAGCTGCCTCATGAAGGGCCAGAGCGGGCATGCCTCATCATCAGCAGGAGCAAGAAGACAGCGATCACCTGGGGTGGCAGAGCACAGGGCGGCAGGGGGCTCAGAGTGCAGGGTGGCGAGGGTGGGCTGTGGCTGGGATTGGGGCTTCATGCGGCCCAAAGGAGCTTCCTGGCACTCTGGGGCTTTTTGCTGGGGCTGGGCTTCATGTGGTGCAAAGGGGCTTCCTGGCGTGCCGCAGCTCTGGAGCTTTTTGCAGCCCCAGAGCCGTGGCACAGCAGGAAGCCCCTTTATATTCCACAAAGTCCAGCTCCAGCCCAGCCCAGTAGTGCAGCCCAAAGAGGCTACTTGGCGCCCCGCCGGCGGGG